GTTCAGATAGAGTGGGAGGGAGAGAGAGAGAGAAAAAAACATCAATGTGAAAGGGACACATCGAGTGGCTGCCACCCGCACGACCAACCAGGGCTGGGGACAAACTGCAACCAAGGTACATGCCCTTAGTGGGAACCGAACCCGGGTCTCTCTGGACCACAGGCCGATGCTCTAACCGCTAAGCCAAACCGGCCAGGGCTTTAATCTCTTTTTAAATTTATTTTTATTTGAATTAATTTATTTTTGTTACAGATGTTTCTCCTTTCCCCCCATTGACACCCTCTTCCTGATCTCCCCCCCACACAGCACTGTTGTCTGTGTCCATTGGTTATGCGTATATGCATATAAGTTGTTTGATTTATCTCTTTCCTTTTCCCACCTCTCCCCCCTCCTCTAAGGTTTGTCAGTCTGAACCCTACTTCTACATCTCTGGGTCTGTTTTGTTCATTAGCTTATTTCATTCATTGTATTCCACAAATAAGTGAGACCATGTGATACTTGTCTTTCTCTGACTGGCTTATTTCACTGAACATAATACTCTACAGGTCCCTCCACAGTGTCTCAAAGGATAAGAGATCTTTCTTTCTTACAGCTGCATAGTATTCCATTGTGTATATGTACCACTGCTTTTTTATCCATTCGTCTACTGATGGACACTTGGGCTATTTCCAGATCTTAGCGATTGTAAATAGTGCTGCTATGAGCATAGGGGTACATATATTCTTTCTGATTGGTGTTTCAGGCTTCTTAGGGTATAGTCCTAGAAGTGGGATCACTGGGTCAAATGGCAGTTCAATTTTTATTTTTTTGAGGAAACACCGTAGTGTTTTCCATAGTGGCTGCACCAGTCTGCATTCCCACCAGCAGTGTACTAGAGTCCACTTTCTCCACACCCTCGCCAGCACTTGTTGTTTGATGATAATCTCAATTCAATTCAGTATTATAATCCACTAATGAACTTCAAGAGGGAAATTCATCAGGAAAATGTGAGGGCAGAGACATCTTCATTTTGTCAGAAAGGGATGCGCTCTCACATCCGTATTTCTTCTAAATATTATGGTTTGCAAAGCCCTTACTTATATGCAAAGCTTGTTCTTCCTGACATTTCTCCTAATAAAATCCCGTGGCTTTCAAAGGAGAGCACACTCATCTTCCACGAGAAGTCTAAGGGAGAGCTTGTCCATCCGTACCGTTGTCTACTTTGTGATTGACAATTTATTGCTTTAATAAATACTTGGCATTTGACCACCGCTGTCTTTGCCAAGTGGGTTATCAAAGAAAGAAAGAGACTGTGGCTTTCTAGTACAGTGATGAGGGAAGAAATTATGTTGCTGCTGCTGCTGCTGCTGACAGTGATAACTATTTCATTCCCATTGTTTCATTAATTATCACCTGTAAAAAGATGTACGCTATTATTATTATGTTTATCTTATAGGTGGAGAAAACGGAGTCTTAGAGTAATACAGTGATCATTTCACTCTGTTTGCACTGACGTTAAAATGCACCAACAGCGGAAGCACATACATGTGTAAAAGGTCCTGTTCAATTTTATGGGCTCGTCTATTTGTCTCTGATAGGGAATTGGCTCTTTGAACTAAGTGATGAGACTTATCCAGTTCTGAACGCGGATGATTATTTCCAGACCTAAATAATTTTGTAGCTAGAAGGAATCTTACAGATCATCTGCTTCTTATTTGAGGGGTAAAGAACATAAGACTCAGAGAAAGCCTCAGTCATCCTGCCATGCCCAGCTCGCTGTTCCTAGTCCCCTGTTTTGTTAGCTCAGCTCAGCTCAGAAGCAGGTCAGAAGCAGGCGTATGAGCGTTAAAACACATGCTAACCCTGACAACTCAATGATATCCTGAAGAAGAGAGATGATGGATATATAAATAGATGGGTAAATAGATCTATTGCATGATAGATAGATAATGTATAATTTGCATCTTCTTTTAAGATGCTTCGGATACCTGAGAATTTTGGCCTTAAATTGTCCCAACAAGTTTTAACATTTATTGGAGTTACTTTTTATAGCCCCTCATCCCTCTTGCTCTCTGGCTTGCTTTATTACTTTGCTTTTAACGTTCTCCTCATCTAATTTGCTATTGCTCATAGTGAGAAAGCAGATAGTCAAGTGTGTAAAGTCCATGCTTAATAGAAAAATAGTCTGAGCGAATGCTTAAGGGAACTTCAATAAATACAGTAGATGTATTTTTATATGTGGCTTTTGTGAGTGATTCTAGCTTTTAGAAACTAGATTTTTTGGGTCTTTCTTAAGCTTAGTTTTGTTCTGTTTTCTGGTTTTATTTGGTGTTTTTTTTTTCTTTCTTTCTTATTTTGGGCCATGATAAGGTTCATGGATAAATTGCATCTGAATAAAGATGAAAACAGTTGAATACATTTTCAGGATCATATTTTTGATCTAGAGCACAAATCTTATTTTTACATGGAGTTAATCTTTTTTTCTAATATGAAAATTATGTCTCTGAAGAATTGAAGATTTTAAAAACAACCATAGAGGTCATCACGTTCAGATCCCAGATTGCCAATCTTGCTCCTTTCGGATCTAATAAGCAGAGAGGTGGTGTGATTTTGCGGAGGGCACCCTCTGCTCATAATGACGCGTCTTAATCCAGCCCCCCACCAGAGGAGCTGGCGCAACGTCCCGGGTGCTCGGGTGATGAAAGTGGGAGGCCAGGAGGTTTCCATGCCTGCTTCATCCAGCCTCGGTAAACCAAGCTGATAATTCGAGGGTTTACAGGCCGATCCTTGCAAGGGAAGCAGTTTACTCTTCATTTCTAAACATTGTGTCAAGTGAATGAGGTGACACACTAAAAAGTCATAAGAATGTATCTTTTTCATGTTTCTATTTTTCAATGAGATGTCTTCATTACATGCAAAGAAGTGGGGTGTTGATTACTGTTGCGGTTTTTTAGGAGCTTGATAAACAACAAAAGAAAACACACACACACAGCTTTCCTTTCTGCCTGAATTCTGAGCCTTTGGGGAATGACAGCTAACCGCCGTGTCACCTTGATCGCTGGCAGAGCTGTTACCGAAGTGTGCACTAAACTCTAATCCTGGAACTCGCTTCTGAACAGACTCCCTCGCTGGGGCAGGCGTCTCCGTATCGGCAGTTGGATGTGGGCTTCCCAATGGAAGAGGGCTGGGCCCCAGGGCCAGCTTCCCATTCCCACTCTTCTGCCTGAGGAGTCAGGCAGCCCCGAGAGGCAGCGCGGGCGGAGGACTAGGCTCGCAGTGCGAGAAGGCAGCTGCGGGAATGGAGAGTCAGCCCCTTAGGGGTCGGGGGGCGCACGGACATCTGAAGTCCAGTACTCCTGATCTGTGTACTGTGCTCTGTACACGTTGTTTGTCGAATGTTAAAATAGCTTACCACATCCCAGCCCCAGCCCAACTTCAGAAACATGGGGAAGGGGTTAATATCATTATCACCATTCTACAGATGAGGACATAGCCTTGGGGAGGTTCCTTTACTTGCTCAGAGTACCGTGGCTGGGCGTGAGGAGAGCCGAGAATCAAAGCAGCCCTGTGTCCCCTAAAACCTATTCGTCCCACGTCCCCAGTTAGTTCTTGTGCTAATAAATATGACAGCAGTTACCCAGGCAAATAAGTTTCCTTAGGTGAAAAGCACTTTGAATCTGTGCAGATGGGAATTTGATAGGTAATTCATGGATATTAGTGTTGGACTGTGATTGTTTAACTTTTGATTTTGAAATAATTTTAGCCTTTTAAAAAAGATGCAAAAATAGCACAGAGAATTTTCATATACCTTTTAACTCAACTTTCCTTAATGATAACATCTTATATAATTTTGGCATAATGATCAAAAATGGGAAATTGACATTGCTGTAACACTATTAACTATTAACTATAAACCTTACTCCAGTACCACCATTGTTTTCAACATTGATGGGATTTTTTTGAGGGCAGGGACTATATTACATTTATTTTCTTGTACATAGTGCCCATGGTGAGTCTGGCCTAGAGCTGGTGATCAGTAACTGCTTTGGAAATAAGGGAGTGAATGGATGTCAAGTTCCTTTGGAAAAAGCAAAAGTGAACATACTAACTAGACTGAAGGAAGGATACAGTGGAATTCATTCAGGGGACCGAAGGCTATGGTGTTACATTCAGTTTTATGTGTGTGCGTGTGCCTGTGTGTGTGTGCATGTTTATGTGTGTGTGCATGTGTTTATGTGTGCGTGTGTGTGTGTTTCACATCACACCTCAGTCCGTGCCTGAGGAAAGAAACAGCGATTGCTGGCACTCAGTCTTGTTTTTCTAGACAGGTTGTAGAAGCTTATCCTAAACCAAAGCACAGAACCTCTCTTGCTTGAAGAGGAAATCCAAATTGTTGTTTTTAGGGTTTCTACTTTCTTTTACTTATTTTCTTTATTGATTTTAGAGAGAGAAGAAAGAAGAGGGAGAGAGAGAGAAAATCAATGAGAGTGAACATTGACTGGCCGCCTCCTGCACGCCCCCACTGGGGATCAGGCCCACAACCTGGGCACGTGCCCTGACCGGGAATCCAGGGAATCAAACCGGTGACCTCTCGGTGCAGGGTCACGCTCCACTCCCGAGCCACACCGGCCGGGCTCTCTTTTCTTTCTCAGAGAGTTCTAGAGATACTATTAGCGGAGTGTGAATTTGCTATGATAGTGACTTCTGACAGCTTCAAACACAAGCGCTCTTTGCCCAAACCTTCACAACCGGAGAACGTGCACCCAGAGCGAGGCCTTATTCGAAACCCCTCTTAGTAGGTTAATGGAGCCTGAAATGGCCCCTTTTCCTGCTGGTTTCTCCGTCATGTTTTAACCAAACTGAAAATATTAATGGGACAAAGTCTAGCAAGGTAAGAATATCGCATTAGAATATTGTTCATAGTTGGGCAAAACCCTTATACGTAATTGTTATGGGAACTGATTTAGCTGAAAAAAATTCAAGTTTTGAAAGGTTTTCCTTATTGTGTTATTGTTGTTTAGATGGAAGACGTCATAGCACGCATGCAAGATGAAAAAAATGGAATTCCTATTCGAACTGTCAAAAGCTTTCTTTCCAAGATCCCCAGTGTCTTCTCCGGTGAGTTTGCATTCTGTGTAGCTCGACTTTGTCCAGATCTTTCAGAGAACTGCTTAAAATCTGGTCTGTCTTTTCAGCATTGAAATCTCTAACTCATTATTCAGTAGCCAATGTAAAACGCTAATGCCATGTGTAACATCAGGTTGGACACTTGAAATGATAAAACAGAACAAAGAAGCAAAAATCGTGACCCTACTCTTAGTTGAAAAACCATAATGGACAAATGTGAAATTAACAGAAAACAACATTAAAATGAAGATGTACGGGACCAGTGTGATGTCAATTGTATATAGAAGTGAGGAGGGTGAAAAAAATCAATGAGGAGCCAGGAAAAGGTTCCTGAAGGTCAGTGATGAGCTGAGTTTCAGAAGTGACAAGTCATGCCCTGGCCGGTTTGCTCAGTGGTTAGAGCATCAGCCCGCGGACCAGTGAGTCCCGGGTTCGATTCCAGTCAAGGACACATGCCTCGGTTGCAGTTCATCCCCGGCCCTGGTAGGGGCGGTATGGGAGACAACCAGTCGGTGTGTCTCTCCCACATCAATGTTTCTCTCTCCCTCCCTCCCTCCCTCCCGCTCTATCTGAAGATAAACAGAAAAATATCCTCAAGTGAGGATTAAAAAGAAATGACACGTCATTACAGCTTCACGGGCAGAGCTGGGAGTGACCAAGCTACAGAGAAGCAGGCAGGTGGACAGGAACAAACAGAGCTGAGCCAGATGAGGAGAGTCTCTGCGAGCCAATCAAAAGAATGCAATTCCAGCGTGTGGGGAACTCTGGAGACATTTAAAGTTTTTGCAGGGAATGCGTGATGCAAGTGTTCGGCATTCAGTAAAGGCCATTGCCTCTGTCATTGGTACAGGCTCTTGTAGGAATTGCTTGGATGCCAAGATTCCGATATGTGGGGAGGGAGGAAGAGAGAAGAGAAAGCACGAGGGTTTGCTGAATGCCAGGGTGTACCGGATAAAAGAGGCTATGACCCGACTTGGGTTTCGTGTTAGTTTCTTACCTGGGTGATCGTGAGATCAAGGAATCATTATCAGATCTACCGACACCCTACAAGTCTGATGGGAAGTGACTAGAGAAGCCCAACAGCAAACGGATGGTGATAAGTTAGAAATCTGTGCTCTGGCCCCGGGGGCAGTGGAGGCCCGCCCTGTGGGGATGTGGGCGGGCTGGGGCCTGGGCTACCCAGGCTAAGAGAGGAGGGGAGATAGGACGATCAGAGCCTTGTGGGGAGTGACAAGCGACAAGAGTAAGGGGTCTGCTGCTGAGCATGTGGAGGGGATTTGTGAACAAGGGTTGTGATGCTTCCTCGTGACCAGGACAGAAAGACCAGTGACCAGGAGGGCTTCGGCCTTGGCAAGAGGCTAATAATGAGGACCAAAGGCAAATGAGCAGGCCCACGTGTTGGGGAGTGAGCACTTCATTGCTCTCGGGCCAGTGGTGGATGCTGACCAGAGCCTGGCCCGGTATGTGAGTTTCCTGAACTTCAGTTAAGTGTGTGTGTGTCTGTGACTGAGGTGATGTCAACCTGGGGGCTGGATAATGGCCGTGTGCAGAGACATGCAAAGGAAGCCCGTCTGCAAGTTGAGAAACACGGAGCAGGAAAGAGAAGCAGCCAGGACGAGGCAGAGAGGGCTGGGCTCCTGCCTGGCTGCAGCTCTTGTCCCTCCCTGTGGCCAGGGACTGTGAAGCAGCCAGGGCCATGTCCCTTGGGATCCCTCCCCTCCTTCAGGCCGCCACCATGAACCCTTTAGTTCTGCTGTGTTCTCCACTTCCTTGTTCTCTTCCAAACCTTTCCACATCTCAGCAGATTCAGTGGTGGTTGTTAGGAAGGCACGTTTACAGACCTTAACTACAGGTATTTTAATTCATTGAGCCTGGGATGCGACAGGGAATCAGTATGTTTAAGCTGATACAAAATATAGAGGCTTGGCATCTGCTTGGCCTACAGGCGTGCTAGCTATATTTTCTTTAGGTTTTTTTATTCAGCTGAACAAACACTGAGCAGTTACTCACTATGTTCCAGTTATTGCACTGGGTTTCAAGGGCTAATATTTTCATTTTAGTGGGGAAATAGATTAGTATATGTTGGCACTAAATATTCCACCGGTGTGATGGAGTGAGGTGAGTTCTGTCCCCGGAGCTTTAAAAAGTCAGTTGTGGGAGCAGAACTGTTTAAACACTTTTATTTTATAGTCAGACCTTCAGCCAAGAACCTGAATTACATGTACTTAACTCCCAAAAGGAACACCTCTGTGAGGTGTGAGTATAATGCTAAGAAGCCTTTGGCGTAGGCAGACACGTGATCATTTACTTACTATTTTTAACTTTCGCAAAGTTATAGTCACAGATATTTATTTCATGTTCATGGAATTGCTTATGAGAGAACCCATAAAATGCATTTCTTCTATAAGAAAATACTAAAGACATTTTGTCTTTGAAGGTAAATTTGATTGATTTTTTAAAAGCAATAAGAAATGTGTGACCTGTATTTTCCCTTTCCTTCTAATTTCTAGGACATTCATTGCTAAATTTAACATTTCATTCGTAGTTTCTCACCTGACTCATCACTGACATATCCACCTTTCTTTCTGCATCTGATTGTTTTTTTTTTTGTCTTTTATTACTTTTATTTGGTGAGTGTGTGTGTGTGTGTGTGTGTGTGAGAGAGAGAGAGAAAGAGAGAGAGAGAGAGAGAGAGAGAGAGAGGAGAGAGAGAAAGGAAGATTACTATTAAAATTGCTTTGAGTCTGGTTTGGAATAGATAAGGACTCAGTCTGGAAGAAGAACATGAGAACTGTCTGCTGTGTGTTAAGAAGTTGTTTTGCCTGGAATCCTCAGCTTCCACATGGAGCTATATTCTGCCCTTGAACTGAAGCTCTACAATATAAAGTGAAAGATGAAATTTAAATATTGCTATATGAGATTTTTATAAAAGTGTTCATGTAATTTTTATGAAATTGTAACCTCAAATTGGAAAAAAAAAAAAAGACCATGAAGCTAATATAATATTTGCTGATTTTGCTGAGGGTTTTTCCTGAATGAAACCCACACATCTTATTCCTACTTGATAGCTGTTGCCCTAGAATTCATATCCTGTGACCTACAGTATTTATTCATCTCTCATCTGAAAGTCGGTGGTAGAGCAAACTGTGACACTCATATCAGCCAAAAAGCCTTTGTATTTAAACCCTGAATGGAAGCAGAATAAAGATCCAAGACCAGATGGGGCACTAAAGTTTGTAAATAAAAGAAGAAATGATTTATTTTATATTTTTATGGCATTTGATTCCTCTTTGAGAATATACATATATATTTTTTGTACATGCCCCTAGCAGGAACTGAACCCGGGACTCTCTGGTCCGCAGGCCGATGCTCCAACTGCTGAGCCAAACTGGCCAGGGCTCCTCTTTGAGAATATTTTACAACTATAACATTTACCTTGACTACATGCATATTTGGATGAGTTAAAACTGACAGCAGAGGTTTTCTATTGCTGAACAAGATGTTCACATGTGTGGGGAGTGCTTTAGTTCTAGAAAATATCTCACATTATAAGAATATTGAATATTATTTGGGTGTAGATTTTGTTGTTGATTCACAATCATGGATGCTTTATAGAGTTTAAGTGTATAAAGGTGAAATAAATAGGCTTTACAACCTGATGAGAGAAAAATTGCTTTTTTAATATTTAATGTTCTAAGAGTTTGAATCAGCCACAGGGATTTTCTTTTTAATAATAAAGCTATGTGTAATACAGGTTTTTTATTTTATTGTTATATATTAAAATAATGATTACTTATATAATAATTACAGTAATTTTATATTGAATATGATATATACAGGATGGAGCAAAAGAAGGTTTACAGTTTGTATAGAAAATAATACAATAATTAATAAATAATAATACTAGAATAAACTTTGTTTTGCATACTCACTACTGTAAACCTACTTTTGCCCCACCCTCTATATGGTTTTTGTTTTTGTTTTTTAGTTGGAGGAAAATATTGGTAATTTGGGAGCATGCTATGTACTCATTGGCTTTTAATATGCGTTTTAAAAACTATATTTCAAGGTAATTGTTGATTATCTCTGTTTCATGGAGAAGGAAATGGGGGGTCAAAGAGTTCAAGTTTCTGGACCAATGTTGCACAGCTTACTAATATTTAAAGCCAGTTGGTCCAGTTCAAGATCCCATTTCCTTTCTCCACCAGCAGGGGTCCCTCCGTAAGTGCTGTTCCTGGCACGTGCCCGTGTTGGCTCAGCATGACACATGAACATGCATCAGTATCTGTGGGACGTGTCCCCCTCAGACAGAAACTCCAGAGCCCCTGCCAGAAAGACCAGAGCTTGTATCTCAGTTACCTCTGAGGATTGCATGACCTTGAGAAAATTGGAGGTTAGACCTAATGGTCTCCAGGTTTCTTTTCCTTGTATGTTCCATATTTCAGAGGGCTCAGCAGAGGAAAGTGTGGACCAGGGATGACTGGAATAGCATGTAGAAGACTAGCCTATTCACAAGATGACCGGACTGGCACAGCATCCATGGAAATCCTAATAGTTTCCTTCCCTAGTCGATGCCACCCATGCCTACAGCTATAATCACAAAGGTGATGCGCCCGTCCACGTGGGTACCATGGGTCCAGCTCTTTTCTTTGAACTCCAGTATATTAAACTCCTGCTGCAATGTTTACACTTGGATATTCCAAAGGAACCTCAAACTCGACATGTCTAAAATTAAGTTTATAGTCTTTTTCTCCACTCCATTCCTAGTTTCTGTCTCAGGAAATATGGCACATGCTGGAAATACTGGTCACCACGACCTCCCCTTCTGTAGCCCTTTCTCCTCATGGCAATTTCATCAGCAAATCTTACCAGTTTTTCCATCTAAGCAGCTATCAAATTATTTGGCTTTTGACCGTCTACTCTTGTATTGCTCTAGTCCACACTACCGTCTCCACTCACCTGAACCATGGCATCGACTCCTAACTGGTCTC